AGAATAGAATAGAATAGAATAGAATAGAATAGAATAGAATAGAATAGCACAGCACAGCACAGCACAGCACAGCACAGAACAGAACAGAACACTTTATTGGCCAAGTGTGATTGGACACACAAGGAATTTGTCTTTGGTGCAAATGCTCTTTTTTTCCATAGCTTTTCACGAAGATCTTTGGAGTTGGGGTAAAGATAGCCAGCCAGTGGTACCAGGAAGGGCTGAGGACCCTGGCTGACTTACAGCTGCACCAAATAAAACTGAACAAAGAACAACAGGCAGGTGAGAGATTCATTGGAAAAGAGAAGTAACTTTAATTTAGTTTATTTGAATATTGGCGGCACCCAACAGCATAGTAGAATAGAAGCTGGAGTGGTGATTATGATTCTGCTTCAACTTGGGATAGACAATATCTTGACTGCAAAGGGTTTTTTGGGGTGAGCGGTAAACTATTCAGTATTTCATTAAGCTACGAGACTTTTTGCTGCTCTGGCGCAACTGCCTTTAGAAGTCATTCTATGGTTTTTATTACTTGGTATAAAATTGCTTTTTTTCCATTTTGATTTTCCATAAATATATGGGGATTGAGTCTTGGGTTTTATAATAGGAGAGGGGGGGAAGGTTAACCAAGTTTAACTATGTTAATGTTTAAAACATCATGATATACAGAACAACCTCTCTTTTTTTCCTGAAAAGTATAAGCATCAAACTAGCTGATCAAAGTAGTATTTTATATAGCTCTAATAAATTTAATGTCTTAGTAATCTATAACGTTCATTAGGATACCTCTCTATCTCTGTCTTACACACACAGACCTGCCAGTCAAATGTCCACTTCTAAAATCTTGCTTGATTAGGGCTGGTAGGTTTTTGTAATAAATAACTCTGAAAGGCTTCACATAAAATTTTCATATAATTTATTGTCCAGAGAAAAGAATGGACCCTATTTGATTTTTTTTGGTTCCTTGAAGGAAAGGAAATTCAGTATTATTACCAATATTAATATCAATATTAGTACTAATAATATTACCGATATTAATATCGATATAACAACTTGCCAGTTGGGAATTATGAGATCTATTAACTTACATATATATGGAGATTATACAATATTCTATAAGGCTTTTTGGAAATGTCAAAATACGAACCCGGTCCTTAAATTACATTTCTGTCCATCTCCTCCTCCTCCTCCTCCTCCTCCTCCTCCTC